CATCTTTCTCGCCAGCCTAGCTAAACACCGTGCCACTACAGAGCTGAGCATCAACATTTTTTGCAAGTTTAGACGCTTGTAAGCTGGTTTTGTGTGAACATATGCATAACTGCATTTTCAGAAAGGAAGATTTTACCATGGAGGTTATTTTTTACATGTAGCTCACAGCTTTCTTTTGGTTTTATTCTGTTTCTAAAGGCTGGTACACACTGATTTATTAAACCGCTCACTACTAAACCGCTGGTACACACTGATTCATTAAACCGCTCACTACTCCTACTGTCAGTGGGGGGTGTTCGTAATATTGGACTGTGGGTCTAAAAAGAAAAACACCTATTAATAATTTAGAAACTGTAGCATCACACATGAGAGACCCTTCCAGCTACAGCAACATATCAATGCTGTCTAACTAACTGCTGGTCGCACTTAAATGTGTTAATGATGTGCACTATTACTCAATGCTATAGCAAGCTAACGGATCACAGTACATTTAGCAGCATTGCAGCATTGCGCTTTTTACCTACAAGTTTACTTTCAAAGCTTTACCGAAGTACACTGTAAAGCGGCAATATACACATTGTAAAATATATTTTACCTGAATGTCTGGTACAAGCAGTTGTAAGCTCCAAATGTCCTTGTACAGCTGCTATAGCACTCCTGTTAGAATGGCGCTAATGTAATACTTAATATCCCATAAGGTGCATTTTGGAGATTAGCATTATTACAGTGGTGTAAATCGGCTTCTTTTGACGCAAATTAAAATGTTTGTACATTAAACATTGCTGTGTGATGACATACTCACAATTAGCTGTGTCTGACTCTGAGTATAAACAAAACTATTTCACGAGAATGTCTCGGCCAGTTAGGTTTTAGAACTGGACCTATCCGCCTGAACAAGTACTGACTGCAGACCATGTGGATTAGGGGCATTTCACTCTGTGTAATACGTCACAACGCATTTATCACAGAATCACATGTTGGCTGAGTGAATCTGGATGTAAATCATCCCCATCTTAGCAATATCTTCTTTTTCTTATGTGACCTTTTGGTAGTGCTGTTGTTCTTGGGTCAATAGAAGCACAATAGAAAATAACCCATAGAGAATAATCAGCTTCGAGTCACTTGCATGTAAAACAATATGGATGCCAAAAATTAAACCTTATTCTGCTTTTTTCATTAAAAGAGTGTGAGGGCTTAGCCAATCACTGATAGCTAATCACACATAGTTATTGGAATCATTCAATTTGAAACCATTTTATTATCATTGGGTTTTATACTGTTGAGTGCCATTAAAACCAGAGAACCCTGTATCCGTCCTTATATAATCCTATTAATGACTTTCCAGTCCACTGCATACAGAAATCACACACACGTTCACACTTACACTAAGAGGCACACTTACACTAAGAGCCAACACACGCTTCATGTTCTATTCTCTGTTGCAGTTTTTAATAATGTATGTATCCTCTCTGCCCCTTTCTCTCTCTCTCTCTCTCTCTCTCCTCTCTGTCATTCTCTCCCTTTTCTCTCTCTGTCCCTCATTTTTCTTTCCCCCTTTCTCTCTCTCCCTTTCTTTTTTCCATCTCACTCTCTCTTCCTCTCCATCATTCTCTCATTTTCCTTTCTCCCTCTCCCTCTCTTTTTCTGTGCACTTTCTCTCTCTCTCCCTCATTGTTCTTTCCCCCTTTCTCTCTCTCTCCCTCATTGTTCTTTCCCACTTTCTCTCTGTCCCTCATTTCTCTTTCCCCCTTTCTCTCTCTGTCTCTCATTTTTCCTTCCCCTTTCTCTCTCTCTCTCTCTCCCTTCCTTTTTTCTATCTCACTCTCTCTTCCTCTCTATCATTCTATCATTTTACTTTCTCCCTCTCCCTCTCTTTTTCTGTGCACTCTCTCTCTCTCTCTCTCCCTCATTGTTCTTTCCCCCTTTCTCTCTCTCTCCCTCATTTTCTGTTCCCTTTCTCTCTCTCACTTTTTTCCCTCTTACTCTCTCTTCCTATCATTCTCCCTCTCCCTCTCTTTTTCTTTCTCCCCCTCATTTTTCTTTCCCCCTTTCTCTCTCTCTCTCCCCTCTCTTTTTTCTCTTCATTCTCTCTTCCTTTATCATTCTCTTCTCTTTCTTTCTGCTCTCCCTATTTTTTTTCTCCCTACTTTCTCTCTCCCTCTCTCTGGCATCAGGAGCACATCTCTCATGTGTTCTATTTCATTGAGTGCCGCTCGCTCAGTTTTCTCTCCTCCCCGTTACTCGTTCGTCGTTGTCAAATCTCCCTGAGTGCTCGCGTTCCCGCGGTGACTGGAGTGCTGGCCAGATGCCAGCGTGTGTGTGTGGCTTGTGTCATGTGCTGCGAATGACATGGAGCATCAAAAAGACGAGCGCTCCGCACAGCGGCCCTGCTGAAGACTCGTCTTCTGCATTCAGAGCCACGCTGAACACATCAAGGACGCGCGGGTTATTGCGCCTCATGTTCGCTGTCGAGACAGCGCAGAACCTTCAGCACCGCAGAGAGCGACGGAGAGAGAGCGCAGTAGGGCAGGGCTCATCTGTGCCGAAATGCTGCACTCTGGTTACACACTCCCATACACAGCCATACGACTACAAAAATAAAGGTGCAGAGGGGGCTCTTTGGAGCAGTGCCTTAAAAGAACAACATACCATTCCTGAAAGAATAGGGCTGTAGTGATACACATTTTTAGGTTCCATACAGTTTTGATTCTGAGATTGGATCGATTTTTGATAACACAATGATCCCAAAAAATCTAAATCCCTAGAATGTGTAAGCGACTTCTAAGCATGTGTGTATAGATATCACCCACTTTGCTCTCATAGTAGGCTGCCCATCTTTGACATTGATCATTGACAGTGATTTCTACCAAAAATGGCAACATTCAGAAGAGAGGGAGAAACGTACTGTATCTCAAATTAACTTACAGCACACTGCAGTACAAAATGTGGGGTTAAAAACAACTCTTGGGTCATTCCCATTATCCAGCGCTCGGTCAGTATACGACAGAACACACGCCTGGGTTAGTCTGACCCAGCATTGCTGGCATATAAGAATAACCAAACAGGCTGGATCACAGGAATTATCTTTATTTTGACCCAGAACTGCTTATTTTCAACTCTTTTGTGAGATTTTATTGTTTGTTTTTAAATTTAATTTTTTTATACTGTAAAAAAATTCACTTTGAAATGACAGTACTGGCTTTAGATATTACTGGCGACTAATTCCATTCAATTTATGGTACCATCCCAGATAGCAAGCATATTTCGGTCCACTGGCTTGATAAGGTCAGCACCTCACTGACTGTTTGCCACTGCTGGTCCGCCTTCAGACCACCCAGGTTATTGTCCTGCATACAAGCTCTAACTAGTTTTTAATCTCCCCAAACAGATTTTAAATGCACAGACATTTATTTCAGAAAATAAACTTAGATAAATATTACAAGCACCTGAGATAAAAAGAAAAATGACTAGGCCTGATTTAAAATGATTTTCTAGAGAACTAATTTACAAAGTATAAGTAAAGAAAAGAAGGAAGGAAAAATAAGTAAATTGGACTGTGATTGAAAATTGAGCGAGGATAAGCAGAATTTTGTCTAATACTTAAACACCGGTGGGCCACCCAGAAAATGCTGAGCAAAACGCCCGCCAGCTTTGCCATTAGTGGGTCAACAGTGGCCCACTATCCTCATGCTATCAGGGATATTAACAGTAAGCATCAGTAAAATAGTATCTGTATGCTGTGACTTCACACTCACCTGCACCACAAGATTACTGCATTCTGTTGTACACTTACCGTAATAAGCTATAATTAAAATACGGTAATTTTCTGTATTCTTTTAGTAAAATCAAGTCTTCTTTGATATTTAAAGCTTCTTCTCAGCCTGTTTGTTCCAACTTGTAAAAAGCAGATGGCAAAAGACAAAAAAAAACTTGTGACAGCCACAAAATATTTTTCTAAATATTTTTCAATTCCTCATCCAAATTAATGTAGGTTACCATTCATTAAGAGAAAAGTAGTGATACAAACTGCAGTCTAACCAGATTTGTTTGGTTAAATAGGTAGGTTAGCTATCTAACTCAATTGGTAGGCTAAAGTTTGCCGATTACAATAAAAATTATTACAGAGATAACATTAATGTCTACTTAAACGTGCTCTAATAGTCATTTTTTATACCAGTGACCCGCCAGTAAAACAGTGTAAACAAATGTTGTATGCTAAGCTATAGCAAGCTAATCCTGTCCAACCCACAACCAGTTAATAAAAAGAATTTGTAATAGTTTTTACTTGAACTAAAACACCTAGGTTAGCTTTTTGCGTTTACCTAATATTAAGTGGTAAAATGTCTGTATTTTATGCAGCTTTACTTACTGATTCCTGTCCGCTGCTGCCTGATGAGAGTCTATTTCACCAAATCTGTGCTAACTGGCTTCTTCACGTGCTGTTAGGACGCTAACTCAGCAGCTGGGCTACTCAAAGACTACCTAAAAACTGCTCAGCAATACCAACATAACCCAACAAAATGACCCAACAGGCTCAACCCAGTGCCGGAAACCACATAAGCGGGTCTATTTGAGATTATTTTAGCACTTCAGCCCAGTTTGAGGAACGCGTATGATGATTTAGGCTTGTGGTTTGCACGATGCTAATTAGCATATATTATCTTCCGTTACCTGTTAGCTACTTTAGCCTCACAGCTCCAGTGCAGAACTAAAGAAGCCAGCTTCAGACATCAAACCTGTCTTGGCATATCAGCTACGTTTAGGGTAAGGGGGGATTGTGAAAATCTTTTGCTGCGCCAGCACTTAGAATGATAGCAGCTCTTCTCCTTTGTCTGAATCTGCAAGCCTCGTGGGATGAATTTGATTAAATTGCTGTTTGGTTAACACTGTAAAACCAGGCACTGTGGTTAGCATGAAGTAACCTTAGATCTTATCACCTCCCATCTACTTCTCTCTGCCTTCCTGTCTTTCTTTCTCTCTCTGCGTCTCTCTCTTCACAGCGGTTTAATTTTGTGTCTCTTCCCACGGATGTTTTGGAGATTGAAGTGAAAGATAAATTTGCCAAGAGCCGGCCCATCATAAAGCGCTTCCTGGGTAAACTGTCCATGCCCGTGCAGAGGCTGCTGGAGAAGCATGCTATCGGGTATGTTATGCATGTACACCACACATAATATGTCTTAACATCAACCTGAAAGCAGCTTGAACAATATAGGTTATATACACCAGTAAGCCAAAACATTATGACCACTCGCAGATGAAGCAAATAGTGTTGATTATGTCATAACCGTGGTGCATGTCAAGGTCTGGGATACATTAGGTGGTAATCGAATAGTCGGTTCTCATAGTCAACGTGTTGGCTGTGGGAGAAATGGGCAGGCATGAAGACCTGAGCAACTTTGACAAGGGCCACATCGCTATGGCCAGGCGACTGGGTCGGAGCATCTATGAAACGGGATGGCTGGTGGGGGCCTCCTGGTCAGCAGTGGTGAATACCTACTGACTGTGGTCCAAGGAGGGACAAACTTTGATCTTGTGACAGTTGGTTGTCCAAAGCTTATCAATGTACAAGGACAACGGAGGCTTTCCCGTCTGATCCAAAGTGACAGAGGGGAACAATTCACAGTTGTTGCCCTGGCCTCCAAATTCCCCAGATCTTAATCCAAATGAGCATTTATTGGATCTGCTGGAAAAAGTCTGATCTGCAGGTCCACCTTGCAGCTTACAGGACTTAAAAGATCTATAGCTAACATCTTGGCACCAGATACCACAGGGCACCTTCAGAGGTCTTGTAGGGTTCATGCCTTGGCAGGTCAGAGCTGTTTTGGTTTCACGCAGAGGACCAAAGGCATATTAGGCGGGTAGTCATAATGTTTTGGCTCTTGGGTGTGTAGGAGGGCTTTATGTGTGGTGTGTCCATTTGAAAGTATTGTTAACTATTTTGGTGCAGTTATTCAATAAAAGCATGTGTGCTTTGGGAGATAAAAATGAAATATTGAATATTGTGCCCTCTTTCACTCAAGGATGTGGATTTCCTAACTGAGCAAGCTGTTTATACCATTTACTGGACATGAGTTTATCAGATATAGCTGTGCTACTTTTCTCAGTCTGGTTCATTTTCTGTGCCATGTGGAGAGCCTTTGATCAATTTTTAACATGTAATTTACAACATTTCTACAGGAGTATAGATATACATCACTCCCAATTGTAACAGCAGTGAAAGTAACTATGGAAGAAAAGTTAAATTTACCATATAAAAAAGCAAAGTACACAAGCTGTTTGTTGTGAGATTTTTTGTGCGAATTTCCCACTCTCACTCCTCCCAACACTGTAAAAGAAAAAAAACTCTTAACAAAATCTGCATTTAATCTGCAAGTCAAATTTAACTCATAGAGACAAACACAAGAAAATAATCCTGCTAGTAACTTTATTTTTATAATGTACCTGTAATCTGATTGTTGTCTTTTTTCTGTAACTGCAACGGTTTTGTATCCTGACTACGGAACGTCATTACATGTATTCCTTTACAACCCAAACCTGGTATTCATGATGTATCGTTAGTGTGGTATGCTATGCTAATTTGTATCATGTAATACAAATTATAGGGCTGGTGCATTTTAACACATTGCAAGGTATTTCACAATTGCAATATGTAATAGTGTATTTGGACTATATATTTCTGTCCATATTGTGCAGCTCAGGTTTACAAATAAAGGGCATTCAGGGTGTGACTGAGTACTAGTCTCTTGTGCATTTTCGCTTTCTAATTTCTCTTTCTCTCTTTCTCTTTCTCAGTGACAGAGTGGTCAGCTACACTTTGGGTCGAAGGCTACCGACAGAGCATGTTAGTGGTCAGCTGCAGTTTCGATTTGAGATCACTTCATCCATCCACCCCGGTTTGTCTTGTTCATCATTTTAGAATCCCCTACCCTACTGCCCATCTACAGTTTCGCTTCTTAATCATTTTATACATTTGTAATCAAACAGCTTAATTTTAAACTATTAAAAACACTGATGAACTTTTGAGCAATGATTTGAAACGTTTGTAGTGTATAGCTGCAGTGCAGCTGTGAATGCTTTTAACTTTCACTCTTCTCCGTGTCCCACAGATGATGAGGACATGTCCCAGAGCACGGAACCCGAATGCTCAACGGTGCCAGAGGAGCCCGAGCGGGAGGCACTGGAGGCTGGGGAGCGGCCGGGTCCTGCCCAGGCTGAGGACACTATGAGCCTGGACCAGGGCACTCTTGAACTGCCATTGGATGGAGATGTGGACACTGTGGCCATGCCTATGGAAGTTGAGCCTGGTCCAGAGTCCTCGGAGGTGGACGAAAGTAGGACAGAGATCTGGGAGGAGGAGAGAGAGGTGGTCCAGGAGGTGGAGCCTGTAGCTGAGGAGAGCAACGAGCAGGAGCAGGGGAATGAGCTGGAGCCCCAGCAGGACAGAGAAGGTAAACAGATTTGAATCTGAAAAGACATCTTCGAAAAAACCGTACAGTTTTCTGTGCACATAGAAAAAGGTCACACTTTACTTGAGCCCTGCTACATAACGCTGACATAGCCATGACATAAATGTGTCACAGCAAATGTCATGTGCGGTTGTCATGACTGGTTACGTTGCGTAATACAACATTATGTTACCGTTACTGTTAATTGTCATGATGTCGTGTTTGACGTCATGACGCTTAACTAAAGTACACAGCAAAAAATTAGCATGTAAAATTAGCTGTCATGACCTCCAACATTATGACATCTGTCATAACAAATACTGGTAATGCTAACATGACACTGATATATTACTGAACAAAATCATGACAGCTCATGACAGCGTATGACACATGCCATAACCTGTTTATGTTTATAGTTTGACATGTTATATCAATGTTATGTTACAGGGTCCAACTACAGTGTTACTTTAAAAAAAAAAGGGTGAGAACTGTAAAAATGAAGAATCTGGAGCAGACACTGAGCGGGTTTTCTATCACGTTTGTGTGGTGAGCAGGAAATAAAAAACCTGGAGCGAAGTGATTACAGAACTCTATGAGCAGGTAGCAGAACTTGCTGCCACTCTTCTCCACTCTACTCACATGCTCTGAAAAAAAGTAGAAAATATTTAGAAAATATATTAGTCTGAACATATTTTGATTTTGGCAGAAACCTGTCCAAACGCTTCTGAATATGTCAGCATGTCTTCAGTCATTACGCTACCATTAAATTACCACTTAGCGCTGTTTGCTTAATTTCTTTCCTTAGTGACCGAAATGGAGTTAGGAGCGGCAGCTGCAGAGACAGAGGGAGCAACTCAGGGCGAGGATGATGGGGAAGGTGCTAGTGCTTCTGCTGTGGGAGCTGAAGGCACGCTGGTGCCCTCTGCTGCAGCGGAGGACATGGAACAGGCAATAGAAGAATCTGAACCTCAGCTTGCCTCCTCTGAGGACGGAATTCAGGCAGAGGGGGAGGGGGAGGGGGAGGAGGCAGAGCTTGATGATGGCTGCCCGCTTCGGGTCAGAACCACTCCACGGAGGAAAAACCGACCATGTTCTCTGCCCGTTTCTGAGCTGGAGACGGTCATAGCTTCGGCTTGTGGAGAACCAGAAACACCTCGTTCACACTACATCCGCATCCACCACCTGCTGCACAGTTTGCCCTCTAACCAGCAGGCCAGAGAGCCAACTGAGAATGCTATGGGTTCTGATGAACCTGACCAGCCAAGAGGTGAGGAAGATGAGGATGAGGATGAAGATGAGGCCATAATACTAGAGCCCCACGCCTTAACACCCGATGGAATGTCCCACCCTCGCCGGACGCTCCCCCGCAGCCGCTCCCACCAGCGCCTCTCCGACCTCATCCAGATGCTGGATGGAGAAGGCCGGCCACCAGGGGCTGAGAGTCAAGCTGGAGGTCAAAGGTCACCAGGCGAGAGCGAGGGTGACCTTAGCCCGGTGCCCTGTTGCAGTCACATGGTGCAGAGGGGCATGGGACCCATGCGGGCAGCGTCGCTGGACAGTGCTCGACGATCTGAAAGCACCGTGTTTTCCTCACAAGAGGACGAGGACGAGACAGAGGCTGTGAACGGCATACTAGGATTGGAGGCGGAGCTACAGCAGGGGGCGGAGAGTCAAGAGCTAGGGGACGGAGATGCTCAGTGGGAGGAGGTGCCCGCTGCTCATGTCCAGAGTCCGCATGGCATTGTGGGTAATGGAGAGTCTCCAGTAGCTGGGACAAGTAGCAGGAGTGAGTATGAGCAAATTTTTATTTTTATGTATCATCGCTTTCATAACAAATCTTACTACCTCAGGAATAGTAACTACAGAACGGAAGGGTAACACCGTACATTAACTAGGGATGTGCATGTGAATAACTTCAAGGAAGGACAAAAAATGCCCAAAAAATACAGTAGTCAAAGAGGCATCAGGAGGTTTGATTAGTAACAAAGGCTGCCTCTTCAGATGAGCTAGTAAGCTAGTGGAGCAAACTAACCGGTACCATGTCGGATGCTGATGAGAACTTGCCATGTTCTACAGGTGGTCTTTTTTTAATATTGTTAGAATTTGTCTCCCAAGTATTTGGGCCACCTCAAGCCTTGTGGTCTCAGGCCCCCCACAAAAAAAGTCAGAGACTATGCTTCATGTATTTATTTCCAGTCAAAATGGCCAAGTATAAGTTATTAATTTCTCAGGAGATATTTCTGAGATTAATTATGACAATTCACTTACGTAAGGAAGGGCACAGTTAACTTCTAAGACTGAACTTTGAAGGTGTGGAAAAATATCCCTCCAGATTTCTTCGAAAAACTGAAGGCAGCTCTCCTGAAAAGAAAGAAAGCTCTAGTGAGGGTAAAGAGTGGACACACTAAATATGGATAAAAATGATATTACAATTAGTTTTTGATGCTTTTGTGTAATTTTCTGTTAAATGTTTTTCTGCTTTTTTTATTGCTGAAACATACTTAATGGCTGTTTTGACTGGAAATGGCTTCAGACTTTAACTGACTACGCAGCAGGAGATAAGGGGCTGCTGAAACATCCCTGACTTGGACATTCAGGGTATCATATTCTTAACATGCTTATGTTAAGGTGCTAATATTTCTTAGCAGCAAAGTGGAATGTAATTGTAAATTGTAAAAAAAAATGGCATTACACTGAACTGTTATCCTTTTCTCTGTTTTCTCATGTTGAAATATAAGAAATAGCAGAATAGTATTCGTTTACTGTCACCTCAAATGCTTAATTGAGCACTTGAGTACCTGTGGACATTCCTACTAAGATTTTATTCCATATGGTTTTGAACCATTTTTACTGGCCCATTCATCATAATATATTCCCATGGAGTCAAGAGCATCTGGAATTTTTAAGTAATGTAAGAAATCTCTAAATCAATCTTCTGATATACCAGCAACAGAATATTTATTTAACGCTTAGTGTCATCCATTCTTTATGAAGATCAGTGGTACATAAGACTTGAAACAGGAGCAGTGCTGAATTTTAATGGGTAAGCTGAATTTTGATGATGTTGGAACTGTTGTAAATTCTGTAGTTTATGTGTGAGCACTTGTCTCTCCAGACAACTCTTGAAATGTTTTGGCTGCAGTCTGATGTTCGATGTTAGACACTATCTGAAGAGTGAAGATAGAATTATAGGGCTATATATTGATATCATGATGTGAAATTGGTTGTTATCAAAAATTCATCATGTAATATGACCATATAACCTAAATAATTTTGGGCCTTTAATGTGGTACTACAACACACTGACCTCTTACTGACTCGACTGTATTAGCCAGTCTTTTTACCCATTTGGACTTAGGAGCCAAACATCACATCACATCTTGGATTTGCCTTTATTGGTCATATGCAAAGGTTTCTGTCCTCTGCTAGTTGCTGTTGCAGTGTATTGCTGTGATAAAAATGTAGTACCAGCATTCTATATTTACATAGAATATAGCTATATGTGGTTATATAGCTATGTTGAGGGAAAATTCATATTTTTTTCTCTCACTCTATAATGTATATTATTATTAATATTGTAATTATCACAATCATGATATTGGTGGTGTCATTCAGCTCTGCTTGATTGCTGTATTTGTGGTTTGTTTGTACAGGAGAGTGCCCTCTTCCATGTAGCCATCCCTCAGTGAGTCAGCTCCCTGCTCTGAGGCCTGATCCCCACCACTACCCTACCATCGATGAGCCTCTGCCGCCCAGTGAGTGCCCCCTGCAGGGCTATAGCTTCACTAAGTCAGCTTGACACTTCTCATCTGTTCAGCTGAGTGACTCCAGGGCTGTAAATCTCTGACCTCACAACAACTACCAGATTTGATTCAATCATTTTGGAACAATTCATGCTTCTTTGTGTATTCAGTGTATATTTAATAAGGACCCACATCACTTTTTTAAAGCACCTAATTTTATTTGATTGCTGATAGCACCCCCTTGTGGAGAATATGCTGCCTGCTAAAAGTGAGTGAGTGAGTTACAAGCCAATACACTGAATACACAATTGTGACTGGTGGAACTATTTACACAGTAGTGGAATAGCAGCAATGAAAAACAATACACTGTATTTCAAAAAACTGCAGAAATTAATTCTACACTGATTGTCTATTTTATCAGCTCCGCTCACCATATAGGTGCACTTTGTTGCTCTGCAATTACAGACTGTAGTCCATCTGATTCTCTGCATACTTTTTTAGCCCCCTTTCCCCCCGTTAAGTCCCCCAAAGAACCACCACAAAGCAGATATTATCTGGGTGGTGGATCATTTTCAGCACTGCAGTAACCCTGATGTGGTGGTGGTGTGTTGCGCTGGTACGAGTGGATCAGACACAGCAGTGCTACTGGAGTTTTAAACACTGTGACCACTTACTGTCCACTTTACTGGACACACCTACATTCTTGGTCCACATTGTAGATGTAAAATCAGAGACAGTAGTTTATTTATTGCTGTACAGTTTGTGTTAGTCATCCTCTAGTCCTTCATCAGTGGTCACAGGACGCTACTGACTGGATATTTTTGGTTGGTGGACTATTTTCAGTCCAGCAGAGACACTGAGGTGTGTCTGTGTCTGATCCACTCATACCAGCGCAACACACCCTAACATGCCACCACCATGTCGGTGCCATTGCCCTGCCGAGAATGATACACCACCCAAATAATACCTGAAGAATGGGGTGTGAGGGGGCTAACAAAGTATGCAGAGAAACAGATGGACTACAGTCTGTAATTGTATAACTAGAAAGTGCATCTATGTAGTAAGCGGGCCTGATAAAGTGGACAGTTAGTTTGAGGTATACTTAATGACGTGGCCAGTCGGTGTGTGTGTAATCTGGAAATGTGTAACTGCATGCAGCGTGTAGAAAAACATTTTGTAACATCGGATGAATCTGATGAATGCGAGTGCATTGAGAGAGTATTCAAAGAGAGCTCAGTCAAAACTTGGTAAAGGACGTGTCTTTTGAGGATGTAAGTGAATTGTGTACTATTGTCATCAACGATTAAGACCTAAACATTGAGTTGGACTTCCTGTTTGAGCCTGTGTGTGTGTGATGTTAGTACGTAAAGATGTACGCATGATCTGAAAAACACCTGCAAAATTTGACCCGACACCTCTGACTTTTAAATTATTATTTCTGGCTGTTCAAAGCGACTCGCAGCAGTGCTCACACACCATATTTTTCCTGACTCAGTAATGCTACTTATTTCAGATTTAACAAAACAGATCTTACAAAGTGCAGCTTTAAGGATATTGGCCTGTTTAATTCATAGCACTGCAGTATATGCACACAAGTATTCATTACACATTCTCACACATCTGTCTCACAGACACACATACTCACACGTATCTCGAGCTGAGCTGTAAAGATCAATATCTCCTCTTCACTGTGACTGTTTATCTCTGTTATCTTTTCTCACCTCTCTCTCTCTCACTCTCTCTCTCTCTCTCTCTCTCTCTCTCTCTCTCGCCCTGGCTGTGTGTATGCGAAGACTGGGAGGCGCGTATAGACAGTCATGGTCGTGTGTTCTATGTGGACCACATTAATCGCACCACGACCTGGCAGAGGCCCACCACAGCAGCCACGCCCGACGGCCTGCGCAGATCCAGCTCCATCCAACAGATGGAGCAGCTCAACAGGAGGTGAGTGGAGCTGGACGCTTTTCTCTTTGTTACAGCATCAGCCACTGAGCTCACTGAGGCCATGGACAGGTCACCATGACAGGGCCTTGCACTGTGCAAAATTGATCACCAAAATATCACTGAAAATGTTCATCTGAATATGACTAAAAATGGCCAAAAAGAGTATCCTGAGTATAAGTTTGACTTTTTCCACTTACCCCAGATGTAGCGATCAGCCAAGACATGTTTGGCGTCAAAATTTTGATTCTTCAGTTCAGCGCTGACGCTAGGAGGCTAACGTTGCTAATGAACACTAGAAGTCAATAGTCACCCAAATATGTTCCATAAATTGTTTCCACTGCGTCCAGGTCTTTACTAAGGCCCTAAAGACATATCCATGTGGTTTATGGTACAGTATGACTTACTGTGAACTGTGAAAATAAGCAAAACTCTACAGTGTAGCTGAACTCGGGGGGGGCAGCAATTTTAGACAGCAAGTGTTGTGCTGAATTCCGACTCCTGTTCGCATGTACCCACGTCACAGACATATGGTTGCTACAGATTTTGTTTGCAAATTCTGTTGTTTCTATTTATGAAAAATTGTTTATTTTGAATTTTCTAAATGGAGATAGATGTTCATAAATAGAGACAACAGAAATCGTAAACATAAGCTAGTGTCCATATGCCTGCATGGCATGCTTGAACATAAAGGGGAGTCGAATTAGCTACATGGTGATTTGTTAACTTTTATAGTTCACAATAAGTCATACTGTGTCTACCTTACTGACCTTACTGAAGACCTGGATGTGGTTTGAGTGGAATGAGAGAAGTTGTGGGGATCTCTTTACACAAAAGATTTGGGTGACTATTGACTGTTTGTTTGTTAAAGCTAATTAGTCCTACAGTAAAATGTTAAAATAAAACACTTTACAAATCACTTCAGTGGTAAGTAGTATTAGAATCAGTAGTTAAAAATACAGTTACCTTTGCTGAACTTCAATTTAAACACTGCAAACACAGTTTTTTTCATGATCTTGTCATTTTTGCAGTGGAGTTAAGCATAAATAATAAGAAAAAAAATGAATTGTGATGTATTAAATGGTATAAAAATGGCAAATTAGATAAAAAAAAAACATAAAAATAAAGATAAAAATCTGGCATGTTTTTTGGTCCAATATTTTGCTTTTTGGTCAAGAATTTGGCCAAGAATTTTCATTCTGGTGCATCTCTAATAGGCATGCGTCAGAAAACATCTAATTATGTAAAACTGAATTAAATTCTCTTAAATTCAATGCAGTGCAACTTAACAGCATCATACATATAAGCAAGTGCTCTTAGCAATATTTAATAACTACATATAATCTTATAACTATAAAAAGACATTAGAGATGGATTTCAGTGCAATACAGCATCAATAAATCTATGTGAAGTGAAACCACAGAACAATATTTTGCATTTTTTCCACATATCCTGTCATCACAAATGGGTTGTAATAATAATTAAGCTTGTATTAGTGCTGTGGAGAGGTCATCTGTAGCCTCGACTGACCTGTGATTCAGCCTTGTGTTGCTTCCCTTCACCTCATTATTCATCCATCCTGTGTTTTGCTAGCAGGTGTTTGAAAATAAGATCTTTTGCACCACCTGGTGGACAGAAATGTTACAGTAAGGACTGAAAATATTAAAATGGAAATACATTGAGTTCCAGCATTTAAAAATCCCAGTGACTCTGCTGTGCCTGATATACTCATACTAATGCTACATACATTATCCATATTACTTCAGGATCATTGCTGTGATGAGAAACATCCACCACCCAATACTATCTGACTTAGTGGTCATATGGCGGTCCCTTTCCATTGAAAGATGTGATAAAGGGGTGCTGATAAATTGTGTAGCAACAGACGGTACAGTCAGTAATTGTGAACTTATGTTTTATGTTTTATGTTTCTCTGAATAATTTAATTACTTGAGTATTGGTTTGTTATGTTGGTGTTCAGTACTATATTTAGTATTCAGAAGCTTTGTCTGTTTTCAAGGCATAAAGATTGTAGCCTAAACTACAACACATTTCGTCAACAAAGCCCTTTAAAAGGACAGTAATTGTCACTGTAAGGATGATGTTAAAAATAAATAAATTATATCTGCTTTAGTGGAATACATCACAAATTCATAGCAGATACACATCACCTTGCCTCAGAGTGCGACAGACTGCACTTTCTGTGTTGCCATTGAAGCTAAAAGAACAAAGATGCTTGAGAAATCACGTTTAACTTATCAGTAAGAAAAGTGCTTAGTGCAAAATTTACAATAAAACATCGATCTGGAGACATGACAAATGTTTTGAATCATCTCAGATGTGTAAGTAAAGTGGTACTCATCTAAGTACCATTAGTCTGTGGTGAGGATGGCACTAAAACCAGGGAGCTCAGAGCCTCAAACATGTTTGCTGATGTGAGTTCTAGCAGTGGATGAGGAGGGAACAATGGCGTAGCTGCTGTCGCTATTGCTCCTATTTCTGATAAAAAATGGTGAACTAGCCAAATAAATCTACAAAATAAATAAAAGCAACTAAAACAAATTAAAACTGAAGCCTTGATGATAATAAATAAATATAATATAATAATAAATATAATAATTCTGATGTGTTACTTCTTTAGTGTCTGCATGACTGATTAAAGTGTATTTGAACGTAAGGACTGCATGGCTTTTATGATAACATATGGCATGTGAGCAGCTGGGCTTTAGCTTGATCTACTAATAAAATAATATTTTGAACTGCAGCAACAAACATACAAAACAATATGGTAAATTATGAAATGTAAATATTGTTTTAAGGGTGATTTTGAGAATGAGTACTTGAGTATTCGTTCAGAAATACCAACAAGTGTGCAAAGCCCTTTGGCCAGCCCTATGCAGGCCCACATCATCAAATTAAAGGCCTATGGACACAAATATTTGGTGGTTCCTTATCTTTTTTTGGTTGGTCAGTAAATTTCACAGCAGGTTACCTATTCAGCACCACAATGGCAGCATACTAACCGCAGTGTTGGGGACCTTGCCGCTTTAAACACATATTTTTTTCCAGTAAAGACACGCAATAGCAAGATTACACAGAAATTAATGAGGACATGGGTTAACATAAATCCAAAAACCAGTGCATCACATCCTTATAAAGTTTGTCTGCTCTTAATAAGCAAACATATACTCCAATGAAGAGGACAAATTAAAATCGGGCAGTTGGAATGTGCATAAAGACGACAAAAAGCAGCAAACTTAAAAAGCCAAACCGTCAAACATCCTTCACTGTTTAAAATAAAGGTTCTGTGCAGGTACGTTTTTCGTTTGTCAAGGTACAAACAATGTAAGTGGACCCTCAAAGCTGCAACAGTGGTTTTAAGGTCCAGTTGTGTACCATAAATAAGTTTTCCCAGGTTAAAAGTACATATTTGTACCTTTTCAGAACCTGTTGTTTAAAACAGAACCATAAACACAGACAACTTAGAAAATATAATTTCAATGGATTATGGTACAGTTATGTTACTTGACCAAAGGTATTGAGATGTACCCTTGAGGGTACCACCCCAGCAACAAGAGGGGTACTGCCCCAGTGACAGTTTGGTGTAGCTAAAGCATACTGCCACAGCAGGCATGGAAATTTTCATTGATATCTTACTTCTTAAGTTTGATCACTGTCGACAAGGGTGATGAAACTTATATCTTTAACTCGGTTGGCTGACATTTAATATTTGGCTTTGGATATGGGCATAATCCATGCTGTCGAAATATTCAGACCTCACTTTTATAGACCCCCTAGTGAAGTAAAGTTCTCATTGTGAGTCAAAACAGTGATTTAAATGTTCTTATTATTGCTTGTAGGAGCCCCCAGAGGCTCAGGCCAATGGGCATGCACCCATAAAAGCCATTGGATGATCTATATTTCTGATAAAATGACCAATGAATACAAGTACAAGGCAGGAGTTTCTAACAAACCAGGAGTGTACATTACAATGAGGATGGTGGCTGGAGTGAGGCATCTTTTAATAGTTGCCACCTGAAGTCTGGACACTCTTGCCCTGTAATCAGTCTGTATTTAGTGCGTTCAGTTGTGGAGAAGTTGCAGCAACAGCATGTGAATAGAGCATTACAGTGTGTTTGCATTCAGCAGTGTACAGTCCCTTTACAGCAGAGGTTGACTCAGAAGAAGCAGCAGTGAGGGCTTACACAACAGCCTGAAGCTCCTAACAGAATCTGTGCAAGAGAAGGCGAGGGAGTTTGATTTAAAGGGTTTGGTGTGGAGGGATTTGGATTTGGAGCATTGAAATCCCCTTTGTTTAGACTGGAGTGCATGTAGGATGATAGTTTCTTTGCTTTTTTAACTCGCTTGCCTGTCTTCTTCGTGGGAGACGTTCTTTTCTGTTGTTTCTTTAAGCAGTCCCAGTGTTGCATCAAATCCTTATTGGATTTTGGTGTTCAGCTCAGTCTCCCTGCTTGACTTGAATGTTAGAGTTGAATGTTTATGATCCACTTAATGTGTCACATTGAAGAAAACCCTCAAAATAAGGTGTAAGAGGCGTCATATCTCATGACTTGATAAGGAAAAAGGTTAGAGCTGTCATGATTACTCAATTAAAGTCATTATTAACAAATTAAAATGTACATTCTTCATGAGTCAGTGGAGATTGATCAGCAGTTTGTATGATGAAAATGCATAAATAGGAATGCATGGTTTTGGCGTATAATTGCTTTAAAAATTGTACAGATTAGACTCATTTGACTGATGAGTCAAACCAGTATTTGATGTTATTTATTGTACTCTGTAAGAGGAGAACAGATGATGCTGGGCTTCTTTGCTAAATTGTCTGTGTTTATTTTATTGCATTTGCAATTTTTCATTTCATTCCCTCTTTGGATTTGTTGCCATTTTTTTATGCTGTGAAAACGAAACGAACGATAGAATGTCTTCAAGTGACAAAGATATCCTGTGCTGGGAAGGCTACTCTCTATTTTGGGAAAGTGAAAGCAGCAGGAAGAGTTTCACTCTCTCTTCAAGGAGCTGAAACTCATACAGCTCAGATGCCTGTAGTCCAGTTTTTTGAGCTGCTTTTGGAAAAGCAGCACTATACGTGACAAGGCAGAGGGCAAACATTAACAGCAGTGATTTTCTAAGTATTCTAAAGTTCTAAGTTCTAAATGATGTATAAGTTATATGTGAACTATCAGCAATGTTTTGCAGCCTGTAATCTAAATTGAAAACAATTGAGTTCATGTAAATATCTGTAAATATTCATGTCATTTACAAACTTCTTTAAATTATGATATTAGATAATAGTGCGTAAAGAATCTCAATAAACACTCCTATCCGTCCTGCCTTGAGGCCTCCATTCGTGACAGAAGACCAGACCACCATTAAGGATGTGGGCCTGAGTTGATCCTTTTTATTAAACTTAAGACAAAAACAAACACTGTAAACAACACATGAAGCAAATGATGCCAGACAAAGGTCAACTGAAAGATGAGAGCTACCTATACCAAAGACAAGAATAGAAACCACCTGGGAAAGGAGGGGTAACAAACTACACACAGGTGGAAACGCTAATGATAAGGCGGGGCTATATGTTAGGAGACAGAAGAGGGCGGAGCCAGGAAAAAGACAATGTGGCATAGCTTTAGATTGGAGGCTGCAACTTACAAGTCGTTTGTAAACCACAATGAAGTAATGGTTTTATGTGTCATACAAAGTAATGTTTATATGTTAATTAATGATGAATAACTGCCCTGTGATGGACTGGTGACCTGTCCAGGTTGTTTCCTGTCTTCTGCCCAATGACCACTAGGATAGGTCCTAGTACGACCCATGAGGATAAGCGGCTTAGATGATGAATGAATGAATGCAAGAACTCTAAATACTTAATTTCATGATTAGTAACAGCTACTGTTTTATAAACTAGTGTTATCTGATTACTGCCCTTTTACTCTAACTGTAATGGAATACAGTTCCATTTTTGAGATCCTGATTATGTAATACTGTTACATGTGTTCCATTTCTACACAAGTCTCTCCATTACTAATGTAAACGATGATGACAGTCCTAAAAAAGATATGATGGATTATCTCTTCTTCCGATCCTGTGGTGTAGCTAATGTGATAGATGAGAAACTTCCAGACTCATGTTCCTGTATCTGATCTCTGTTTCAGGTATCAGACCATCCAGAGGACCAGAGAGGCCCCAGAGCGGAGAGAGGAGGAGGGCGGCAGCCCCCGAGCTGAGAGAACGGCCAATACAGAGACTGACTTACCACCTCAGGCGAGCGGTGAGTGCTTCAGAGATATGTGCACCTGCACACAAACTAAAGCATGAAATTTGTCTGAACCTGACGGGACATCTGACATCGGGATCGGATGTCATTTTCCAAAAATGTGATGGGCTCGGGTCACATTCGGGTTCACACAGCCCAGCTCCCATTTTACCTTGCATTTCCTCTTGCTTTCATTTGTCTTCTTACTTAATTCTTCCTCCTTATTCTCAATACGGCCAAATAGCTTTTAATCTGGCACACTGGAGTCATCACTCATGTTGTTGACAGAACTTAGCACCGAGGTAAATGCTTGTAAGAAAATAGATGCACAGTGAATAAATATTGATCCTGGCAAGTACAGATTAGTGCAGCCAAAAGGACATTTAATTTATTTATAAAGTATTTTTTATGTTTTCTACATAAAAAACAGAGCCTTAGAATTAAACCATTAAAGGATAACATCCTGCTGTATCAGCACTGCACAGCGTGAGAGCATCCCTGTATGGAAAACTTATCCAGACTAAAAATGTTTGTTGTTAAAATGTATCACTTAATCGATACATTCCTTAAAGCAAGATTTAAACTTTTTAACCTACATTTGGATTATTTTGTGATATTATTTTATATTAATATTTTTTATTAGTCTTTGATCTAATGGTGACTAGTATTGTCACTACACTGTAATTTAAATGACACTATCATGAGAAATATCAGGTTTTATTCAGCACTTTGAGTGATAATGAGCTGTTTCGGGTGATTTTGGTACACAGAACAATTTGGTGATACGGTTCAGGTTCGGACTCAAAATGTGATGCTGTGTGTCAGGTTGAGTCTGAGATTGACAGAAAATTCTCAAACTGTGTTTGAATTCAAACCAAAATTTCAAACCCAGTTAAAGCCCTAGAGCACACAAATAGAGTCATATATAAAATAAGTTTGGGCAGCCCTGGTCAAATGACATGCTTTTGTTGATTTTTTTAAGTGAAAATAAGTTAACCCGTCCTCTACAGAGAACACGCCTCTGCACATTTTAATACACAGTTACTGTTTATTTGCTGAATTTAACATATTGGGAAAAAATAAAACATGTGGCTTGTGCCTAAGTAATGGCAGTTTTATTAGTTTCCAATATGTTAAACTACAGCAAATAAAATGTTTAGAAGTGCGTTGTTGAAGAAGATGTGACTTATTTTCACTCAGTAAGTCAACAAAACATGTACATGGCTGTATTCATACCATATTCACACCTCACAATGTGATGTACAGTAATGAGTATGGGTGTAAATCTCTGACCTCATAATGATCTGATTCTTTTACAATTCTTTAGGGGGAAAAATCAATTCAGTGTTTGGTTTAATGTGTGTTCTTTCATTTCACCTTTATTTGATTTGATTATTTTGGTACACTTCAAATTTTTGTGTTAAAATATACTGAATAAGCAAATGTACCTATTTTACATACAGAGGTGTTTTTAACAAATGTTTACTACAAATAGTGGATTTTTTTACACATATTTTTACATTTGAAAATGTAAAAGGCTTAGAATAAGTGCATATTTTTAAATATTATTATAAACACTTTTTATAATCAGTTTTAAACGATCATTCCAAAGTGAATGCCGTTGAATTGCCAACTTCAGATCCTTGCGCTGATGCATTTTTCCACCACTAACCTTTTACACTGCAGTACTGTGCTGTTAAACCTGCATCCAGTCTCTGTCAAAAATGCTAACAAGGCCTTCAATAAATGTAATCTAATAGACGCCACTTAGCATAAGCTAATTTTCAAAATTCTAACTGTCACCCACCAACTTTTATTCATTATTATTCATGTCAGCTTTATTTTTGGCTGAAGTATTCCTGTAATCAACCCCTTTTTCTCTCAGAGTTGAGGAGAGACAGTCCCTGCTCCCCGGGACACTGTCAGAAGATCACACAGCTGCTGCAGAGTCCTGCCGTCAAATTCATCACACATCCGGAGTTCTTCACCGTCCTCCATGCCAACTACGTAAGCACCATCTCCACAACACACACTCAGCACACACTGACAGACAGTAGTTGACTTCAGGAAGGTGAGGAAAATGGAAGGGTTTGGAACGTAAAAAGACTCTTGGGATGTAGCACCATTACATCAACCCCATTATATTAACCCGTAGGCTTATTACATACTAAAGCTTATTATTTAGTAACTGCAGGGACTTCAGTGCAAACTGCCTAAGCTATTCTTAGTTTATGGAAGTGTGTAATAAAACTTTGGGCCTGCTGGTGGGCCCTGGCCATTTAAGGGGTTAAGCTATTTTAATGGTAGATAATCATGTTATTGTCCATAACACCAAATTATAATAGTCATACCCTTAATTGATGTATTATTTATATATACTCTATTATAGAATATTAGATATAATGTATAATAATATAACTATATCTAATAAAATAATATATAATCTATATTTATATATCTACTCTGTTTTGTTTTTCATTTTGGTTGGTGTTTACATACATAGTGCTAAATAAAAATATTTGCACTTTTACTGCACTTTTATGTTTTTGCGCTGTTCTTATGTGTAAATATGGGTAATAAGTGTAATTATATGTCTCTTTATTATGGGAACGCAGTGTCCATTGTCTTTACATCCTATGCATTCTAATGCAGCTCTGCTCTTGCACCACGAGACACATTTATGAAAAGAAACAGCCCCAAATGACTATACATGGTAAACGACTTCCCTTAAAAAGTAGTTGATCATTGTACTGATGTACAATGTTGTTTTTACATGTAAGACTTTTCATTATCTCATGTAAGAAATGAATTTTAGCACGTAATAATTTCATTTTCGCTTGTGCAAATTTAACTTGAATATGCAATCATTATAGAATAATATTAATTTAACAATTTCAGCGCGTCAAAATTAAATTTGTAGCTAATTTATCACATGTTAAAGTCAAACTCATAGTAAGAATTGTTCCTCCCATTAAAATGAGGTGGGGAAAAACCATGAATTCTTACTAGGGTGAACTTGTATATATTGGAACATAATTACTATTGTTAAAAATGTAATTTTGTTGAATGTTACAATTAGATTTTTTTTTACATTTCCATTTTCAATTGTGCTAATATTTATAGCATTTAACTTGTTTATGCTAGGGGTGGGCAGTATGGCGATATTTTAATTGTAGTATTTTTATACATGGCAATACACGTTCTGTTTTGTGTATTTTAAATTATTCAATCTCATAATAACTAAATATTGAGATGCATATTATGTATACATGAAAATGGCTAACCAACCGCTGTCTGACTCATCACAGTCAATCGTTACATGTGCCTGTTAAAGAATTTTGCTTTACATTTACTGTGAACCTAAATCAGCTGTCATCTGTCTCTATCTCATCTATATGAGTACAATAGTCGGCCGAAATAATAAATGATAATAAATGGTTTAGGTTGTTTTGTACTCAGTTTACCCCATTTATACTTTTCTATCCCTAGGAATTTCTGCATATGCATAGTTAGGAGTACTTCTAAAAATGCTCACATTTTCATGCCCTAGAAAAAAACATATAAATCATGTCATATGCATAGAAAAGTGTGTATATGTGGTTTACACACAGTAGATAAATGAGACCCCAAGTTTTCCCCTTACAGATCGCTAAAGTAAATCTGTCAGTCTGTTTGTCTGTCTGCCTAATGAGCCATATTAATTTACTCTTAATGGAGGATTAGTATATTGGAAAATACAATATTAGCTTAAATGCTTTAGCTTAAAATATGTGGTAATATCATTTTTCTCTCTCCCTCCAATAGGGAGCGTACCGTATGTTCACGAACAGCTCGTGTCTGAAGCACATGATCCTGAAGATCAGGAGGGATGCGCGTAATTTTGAGCGCTATCAGCACAATCGCGACCTGGTCACCTTTCTCAACCGCTTTGCTGATTCACACATGGAGCTGCCCAGGGGCTGGGAGATCAAAGCTGACCCTCAGGGAAAGGTAGTCATCCACCTGTATCCAGGCACACACATAATTCACACTGACACACACCATGTCAGTGTCACTGACATGAAGAGTAGTAAACCACCCAAATGATATCTGGTGATGGTCTTGTGGTGGTTCTTTTCATTAGATGAATGGAGTAGAAGGGGCTGACGATAAATTGTGTAGCAACAGATGAGCTATAGTCAGTAATTGTAGCACATGGGGTGCTGGAGCCTATCCCAGCAGTCATTGGGTGGAGGGCAGGAAATACCTTGGACAGGTCACCAGTCCATCACAGGGCAGACACACAGACATATACATTCATACCTAGAGGCAATTTAGCATCTCCAGTTCACCTGACTGCATGTCTTTGGGCTGTGGGAGGAAACCTGAGCACCTGGAGAAAACCCACACAGACACAGGGAGAACATGTAAACTCCACACAGAAAGAACAGTTGTCGCCTGACTGGGGAATTGAACCCAGGCCCTACTTGCTGTGAGATGACAGTTATTTGCACTTGTAGTGATTATTATTTTTAAAATTGACCGTGCATCATGGTTATAATGGACTATTCCATGATGTTACATGATGGCAAAATTGCATGAAGACAGACTGGGATGAACAAGGCAGTTACGGAGAAGAGATTCTTTGGTGTGATTTTCAAGTCAGGCTTTATTGTCATTTCAGCTATATACAATAGACAGCGAAATGAAACAACATTCCTCCAGGATCATGGTGCAACACAGGAACACAAGTGCGAGACAATACAATAAACACAGTGCAGACAGTACAGTACAATAAATAAATACAAAAGACTTACAATAAATACAAAACAGAACACAGGCAGTACACGGTACTGAGAGTATGTGGAGTTGTGCAAAGGAGGTGGTAACATACTATGACCTATTAGCAGCTTAGCAGATAGCCTAGCATATATGAGCATAGCAGTCACTGAGGTAGCAACCAGAGCAGCAATATACAGTATTCAGTATTTGGTTGATATAGTAATTCTAGCAGCTAACAATGTTAAAGTGAAGTATAAAATGTGCAAAAATGCAGGTATTCAGATATACAGTCATGTCAAGTGAAGTGTTTCAGTGAAATGCTACTATTTTTACAGTGTTCAATAATTTGGAACTGCAAGAAGTGGGGAGTGAGTTAGTGCCATATTGTTATGTATATGTATGTGTGGGTCCGTGTGGGTGTTATGTATATGTGTGTGGGGGTCCGTGTGGATGTTATGTATATGTGTGTGTGGGTCCATGGGAGTTGAGGAATCTGTTGGCTTGTGGAAAGAAACTGTTGCATCTTGCTGTAAAAGGCCCGAATGCTGCGATACCTTCTTCCAGATGGCAGAAGAGAGAACAGTTCGTGTGAGGGGTGTGTGGGATCAGTCATATTTTCTGGATGTTCAGAGGGAAAATTAAAGTTAACCAAGAGCAGTTGAGAAAGGCAAAAACAGGGAGAACAGGGTGCTGCACAGGCTTAGCAGACCATACATAATGTTAGAGTTAATGTTAGTATAGATAGCTCCAGTGTTGGGGAGTTACACAAAAAATCTATTACAATTTACTAATTACTTCTCACAAAGTGCAGTGAGATTACATTACTTATGACTTCTTGGAAAAAGTAATCTCATTACTCATTACTTTACTTCTACATTAGTTAATACCAACTTAATCTGCCATTAAATGTAATTATTTTAAATAAAACATTTAAAACAAGTTCAAAATACAAATAACAAAATCTTTTAAGTAGGTCTGGATAATACGACAATATATAACGTTATTCTGATAAATTTTGTCACGATAATACAAAATGCTTTTCTGAACATATTAAGGATATCGTACAGACCAACTGCCTTGTTTCATTATAAAAAGAGCAAAATTTGTCCCATTTAACTGGATTTAGTGCAACACAGGATCCCAGATGTTGAATCAAAATCATTGTGTTCACAGTTTTTATTTTGTATTTTAAATGTAGCACTACTGATTCTATTAGTTCCAACTGAACGAGTGAAAAATTTTGAAGCATTACAATATAATATTTTGGCCATATCACCTACTGCTACTTTTAGTATTCTTACAACATTCTCAAAATGAGAAATATTAGATATATCCACTATTTAAGATGACTCAGTTGCCAAGATATAATTGTTTGCGGTGCATGTACGTCCAGGGGCCCTATTACTGCCTTTTGCCTAGAATCACTAAATCCACCCCTGACTGAGGAGTAGAAGTAGCCAACAGAATTTCCAGAGCTGCCCTTTCCTTTCTGTAAGCCTTATAACCTCTCTTTCTCTCTCTGCAGTCATTCTTTGTGGATCATAACAGTCGTGCCACCACCTTCATTGACCCCCGAATCCCTCTACAGAATGGCAGGCTGCCTAACCACCTCACACACCGACAGCACCTGCAGAGACTGCGCAGCTACAGCGCAGGAGAGGTCAGCATGGATGTGAGACAGAATGTGTGCACGGTTTTATTCCCTGTGTTCACTCAGATGGGTACCCAGCTTACAAATGTATATTCTAAAAATGTTCCCCTAACGTTCTGTTTTGGTTGTGGGAATGCTGATTTGAAATGTTCCCTGAATGTTCCAAATGTCCAGTTTCCTTAAGCGTTCCAGATTATTATTCTTACGTTAAAACAAAGTTCCTCAGAACTTTAACCTCATTTGCAATCACAGCATAACATTGCAGGATGCTAACCTGGAATGAACACTGAACGTTCAAAATATCCTGTTTTTTTAATGTTCCCAAAAAATGTTTCTCAGAATGATACCTCAGACTTTTAACTGAAGGAAAATGCTCTGGGATCATAAGAAAAAAGGTCATTTTTAACACTTAAACATTCCAAGTCATTTCTACAGCCAAAATGGAATGTTAGGGGAATATTTTTGGAATGGAAATTTGTTTAGCTGTGATAAATACACTCTTTCTCAAGCCCATTTAATATTATTAGAACTTTCTATTAATGTTACCTTGAGAACATTTGATACTAACATTCAGAGAGGCTTTACATAATATAGCCAAAGCTCAGTCCAATCAGGAAAACAGCTTATGAAAATGTATTTATGTGTACCTACTTAAGCTGATCCATGAAGCTGATCCAGACCTATTTACAATGCAATATATTGTTGATATATTACAAAATATCTTACAAAATGTATTACAGTGTATGTATATACACACAGACACACACACACACACACACACACTCTAAGCTGCTTATCCTTCTGGGGTGCGGGGGATGCTGAAGCATATACCAGCAGTCAGGGTTGTATATATGTGCAATATGTTATAATTTCAATATATTGCTTATCCAGTGGTTGTTCATATATGTCATGTACCTTAAGTGATGATAATTTCATGCCAGTTCATATTCTTATATTCAATGAATGACCAGTTTTGTTGGTGTGCCTGCAGGCGTCAGAGGTGTCCCGCACTCGTGGAGTATCTCTGTTAGCACGGCCTGGTAACAGCTTAGTAGCAGCCATCAGAAACCAAAGCCAACAGGAGCCAGTGCCATTAGGTATGAGCACCACTAGAGGGGATTGTTGCTTTAACTATGACATTTTTTTTTTCATTGTGTAACTTTTTCATTAGGGCATGTAGAGTGGCTTTTTAACCTTTTGTCTACAGTGACAAGATAGTAAATATATAACAGTATAATTGATATGTATATATAATTGATATGACTGAACTTCTGTTCAGTCATTAGAGCAAAAAATGATCCCGTTCACAGTTTTTAATGGTATTTTTATGTAGCACCACTGATTCTATTAGTTCCAACTGAACAAATGCCTGAAAAAACAAATCATAACATATTGTGTATCATGATACACTTTGAACTAATAGACACTGATAGCACTACTTACACTGATTTTTTAGCATATTCATGAAGCGTTAAGTAAACTTGTCACGTCTGGTAATGATTGTGGTCATATGTGTTATGTTTGCTAAACCAGTTTGTCTCTACAACAGCGTACAACGATAAGATTGTGGTGTTTCTACGGCAGCCCAACATCTTTGAGGTGCTTCAAGAGAGACAACCCAGCCTGGCCAGGAACCACTCGCTCAAGTACTGACCTCCGCATGATCTTACTGTACTGTTCCAATGTATTACCATGTATGTGTGGCAGTTCTTAAAGTGTGTGTGTTCTCAGGGAAAAGGTTCACCATATCCGCACAGAGGGCACACCCAGGCTGGAGAAACTGTCCTGCGATGCTGATCTGGTCATGCTGTTAAGGTAAGACATCTTCTAGCGTACCCACTCTATGATGTCCTTATTATTATATTCCCATAGTGATTACGGGCAGTCGTGTACGAAAGTTTCGGCACTCCTGGTCAAATGACATGTTTAATCAGTTTTCTAAGTGAAACTAAATTAGTGTATCCACCACAGGCAACACACTTTTGCAAATTCTAATACAAAATTGCTGTTTATTTGCTGAATTTAATACATTGGGAAAAAATTAAATGTGCTCTGCAGAAGTAGGCAGGTACAAAATACCTTAATTTGAAAAGAGCTAAGAGATATTTAAAAGAAACCAAAAATTACAAAGAAGAGTTCATTTGAACTTAAAAAGTGTGACAGTTTGCCCTCCATCCCCCCACATTACTCCACACAATGCTACTCAATGTGGGTATCTACTAGCTGATGTGACAGAATTTGCAGTTAGTGTTCTCCTCCAAGCGTATTGAGCTGTCTGACATTGCATTAGTGGCAGTTTCAAAAGATGCAGTGGAGCTCCGTGTCTCGGAGGAAGCACATGCTAACCTTCTCCCTCTCAGCTTGGTAGCATCATGTAATTGGGGGATTGTTCTTTGCTAGGCAACATTTGTGATTGTTCTTTGCTAGGCTATCTAGAGTTCTACTTGAGTGATTATTTCATTAAACAAACACAACTTTAACTTGAGTTTTTGAGCTACTTTACCTGCAAATATTACCTGTGTATTTGTTATGATCAGTAATAGATTGAAAGGTGCTTAACACGTTTGTGTCTGTTTTCTGCAGTTTGTTTGAGGAGGAGATCATGTCTTACGTTCCTCTCTCTGCATTTCACTCCGGCTTCGGCTTCTCCCCACGCTGCTCCCCCGGCTCCTCTCCACAGAACTCTCCAGGTGGGTCCCATGCTGGAGTCTTGGACATGTACTAATGTAGCAATCCAACATTTGTGTTTGTTGCTATTTGTTGGTGAGTGTTGGACCGATCAGTGCTCTGGATTTAACTAAAGCTTTCTCATTGTTGCATTTGAAGTCACTGACTCATATTTCCATTCTGAGCTTCTAATGAATAATCTGCTCTGTGCTGTGCTGTGCTGTGCATCGGGCCTGGCTAAGGCATCGTTGAGAGAGCTCCACTGGTTCCAGTGTGCTGTCTCTCTGGTGACAGCTCTCCAGGTCAGACGCTCTTTCACTCTCGCGTACCCCAGCGAACCTTCAGACGCTCTCCACCTGTTCCCACCCAGCTGCCCTGTTCTACCCGCTCTGATCTGTTCTGATCCAACTGCACTTTTCCATTGACCTCCTCTGACCTGTTGGAACACAAGAACTCTCCCTCTCCACCAGTGGGATTCATTGTGTGGTTGTTATTGGACTCCTCTCCAGCAACAACTCCAACGCTGTTTTCTCCTTGCTATCCAAATGAAAAATGAGATGGCAATACGGGCAGAAATGTTCTGTCTTAGAACTGGTTTTGGATCCTAAAGAGTGTCTTTAACCCTTAGAAGTTGCTGCAAAAAAGCTGTACACAACAGTAAATTTCATCAAAATCATAAATGATCTTTTCTTCAACTTACAGACATGACATTAAAGGGACACTTTGGCCAAAATGAAAAATGTAACCATCACTACAACTCAATCTGCTGTAAACATGGCTACTCTGATCCTACAGTCGTGCTGCGGTATACTCTAGAGTGAGATTTTAAGGTTTAATGACTAAGAACACCCATCCTGATGATGTGTCTTGAAGGTTCTGCAAAGCTACAAGTGCTTTAGGGTGGGTTTTTGTGGACAGGCTGCTTTGATTAGCCTGACAGCTAACATTAGTGATAGGATGCTGAATATCTTATTGCAGCCATATAATCAATAATCAAAATCATCATTACAATGCAGAGAATTAATAACTCCAATGACAAAAATGAGGACAACAAGCTAACAGCTAAAGGTACCAAGGTATCCACCTAGCAGTCTAGAAATCTTACCCTTTTTTGTGTATTTCTCTGGCTGAAAGGGTAAAAAAGTATCCATCCACTGTCTCTAGTATCCATTTTGTGCTGAATAAAGACAGAATTACTGTTTTCTTTATGACTTTGTTGGATGACCAAGGTAAAAGTTGCACTAGTGCTAGCCTGGTTGTATTTGCAATCCTCAATTCTGTACAAGTTGGGACAGTATGTCAATTGCAAATCAAAATAGGAAGCAGTGATTTGTAAATCCACTTTGCCAAAAATGTATGCACGAATAATCCAACACTTTTACAACAACATTCCTCAGCAAACAACTGCAAGGATTGTAGGAAACATTGTGATATCATCAAAAGATTCAGGGAATCCAGAGAAATCTCTTTAAGTAAAGGGCAAGGCCAAAAACCCATGAATGCCTATTACATTCAATCCCTCACTTGCCACTGCATTAAAAAAGACATACTTCTGTGATGAATATCACCACATGGGTTTGAGAATTCTTTGACAAAAAGTTGTCAATAAACATTGTCCCTCGCTGCATCCACAAACATAGTTTAAAGCTGGAAGCCATATGTCAACAAGCCACAAGTCCACAAACGCCACTGAGTTCTCTGGGCTCGAGCTTGTCTGAATTGAACTGATGTACAGTGGATATCGATTGTGGTCTAAGAGTCAACCGTTTAAGATTGTTAATGGAAATAATGGACGTTGTGATCTCCAGGCCAACGACAAAAAGGACCAGCATAAAGTTCAAAAGCCAGGATTTGTCATGGTCTGTGGGTTCATTAGTGCCCATAGCATGGATAACTTATAAAGGCACCATTAACTGAAATATATATATATATATATATATATTTCAGTTCATTTAGATATTCCTTCCACATATGCTTCCTTCTAGACAACGTCTTTTTCAGACGTTCATGCGTATTTCAACATGACAGTAGCAAGCCAAGCAAGCCATATTCTGCACGTTACAACAGCATGGCTGCGTAATCAGAGAGTGCAGGTGCTTGACTGTCCTGCCTCCAGTCTAGACCTGTCTCCCATTAAAAACACATAGCACATTATGAAGTGCAAAATACGAATGGTAAAAATTCTGCTTTCAAAACTGGATCAATTGGTGTCTTCTGTCCCCAAATGATTAATAAGTATTGATAAAAGGAAAGGTGTTGTAACACAGTGGTAGACATGCTCCTGTCCCACTTTTTTGGAATGTGCAGGCATCACATTTGGAAAGAGCGTAAAAAAAACAATACAGCTGATAAGATCAAACTTCAAATAGCATGTATCTTTTCAGATTAATGCAGGTCAAACAGAATATACTAATCACTGCTTTCTGTTTTTATTAGCATTTGTCATACCCACATAATTTCACATTTCACATAATGTGTGCTGGGTATGGTGGTGAGACAACAGTGATGAATAAAAAACATGATTCGATATAAAATCATAAGTTGTATCAAAATGAGGCTGAGGGACACACTGCTGGGCTTCAGAACACTATATAACACAACAAATAATATTAAACTCTAGTTTTAGGCCAGAATGCCCCTTTAATTGAAAGTTTAGACTGTGTCCTTTCAGCAGAATTGTCTGCTTATTTGAATCAGTGAGTGAGAAACAGTTAGTACTGCAGCATTATTTTGCAACATCCCTGATAATAACTAACTTCTAAGGGTTAAACCTTTAACATTTTACTGTGTGGCCACTGATCATTCTGAATGTTTATGGATCATTTGGCTCCTTGATCAGACCTACTTTTGGACAGAAAGGTAGTTTTTTTATTGTATATAGTGCTGATGTGTTTCTGTTTTTGATTGGCGGTTTAGGGACCCAGCGAGCTCGAGCTCCAGCCCCCTACCGCAGAGACTTCGAAGCCAAACTTCGCAACTTCTACAGAAAATTGGAAGCCAAGGGCTATGGACAAGGCCCTGGTAAAATCAAGTGAGTGATCTGAATATGTTGTGTAATGGTTAATTAAATACACTTTAAACTGTTGTTATGGAAGGCCCATTGTTTGACCAATTAACTGACAGCACCTTTGGTCTGTGCACCAGGCTGATAGTGAGGAGAGATCACCTGCTGGAAGGCACATTTAACCAGGTCATGGCCTATTCACGCAAAGAGCTCCAAAGGAACAAACTCTACATCACGTTTGTCGGGGAGGAAGGGTATGGCCTACCACTTTCTTTAAATTCCCTTGACTTGAAATGTACATAGAATGTTGACTCTTAATAATAAAGGTTCTTTGGATGCCACAGGACCACTCTTTTATGGATAGCTCTTCAAAGAATCATGTTTCTAAATGAGATATGTGAACGTGGAGAGCCGTTTAAAGTATGTAGTGCCTCCACATAATCTAATATGTAATGTAAATGTATACAAATAAAAGTTTTTTTCCTAGAACGCTCTGTTCAGGCCAAGAACCACTGAGCAATGTTTATTTTTGCAAGTGTAAATTCAGTAATGAAGGCGTCTGTGAGCTTGGATCAAACCAATGATGTGTTATCAAGATTCTCTTTTCTGTCTTGTCCAGCCTGGATTACAGCGGACCGTCTCGGGAGTTCTTCTTCCTGCTCTCTCAGGAGCTCTTTAACCCATATTATGGCTTGTTTGAGTATTCTGCTAATGACACCTACACAGTCCAGATCAGCCCCATGTCTGCCTTTGTGGAGAACCATCTGGAATGGTGAGATTCTCTGCATGTCCATTGGAAAGAATTCACGTTTGGTGTAGCCTTCCGAAATGAAGACATGTTCAACCTACACATTGATGTTTGTGTGTTCAGGTTCCGTTTCAGTGGCCGCATACTAGGCCTGGCGTTGATTCATCAGTACCTGTTGGATGCCTTCTTCACCAGGCCCTTTTATAAGGCTCTCCTCAGACTGTGAGTGCATGTTTGCAATGATTCCTTTTAGGGATGTCTCCAATCATATCTGAGAGGCTTAATGAGTAGTGGCTGATACTGAACCGATGTTTGTACTTTCATAGACAGCACACAAAAAAAAAAAAAAACGTGGATCGAAACTGGATCATGCTTAACATAGCTGATGCTCGATTCATTAAAATATGCCTATATTGGCCCATTCCTCTGTATTGGATCAGTAAGCCAGTCTGGTATGCCAAGTCTCTTGAAAATATTGTTGAGAGCATAATTAGTGCAGCAGAATGTTTTTACAACCTTTTTACTACACCCTATGTATCTATTTGTATATGCATATCACTGCTATCAGAACAAAACCTTGTATCTCCGTTTTTCAGTTTTTTACATAATTTGAAAATGCCTGTTGTCTTTTATATTGTTTGTGAATTTCATGATGAATGGACCAAAAGAAATGGCCCAAATGACATGGAAAAAAATCTGGTTCCATTGACTAACAGTAAAAATAAAGTATGTTTTTTCCTTCTCCTGTAAAGTTAGTATGTTGGTGATACAAGGTTTTGATCCGACAGCAGCGATATATATATATATATATATATATATATATAAACTTGTATACACAGAATGTTTATTGTACTACCATTCATACTTTTACGCTGTTACACTTAAGTATTATACGTATCAGACCATAGTTATTAGTTCCTCAGTTTGTATATAACAAAAACTTAGCTGCACATACTCATCACTCATAGTATAGTTTATATTTACTGTACCTACAAACTGTTCAAAAGTGTGAGATGACATATAAACAATTTTGTCATGTTATGTACAACTTATTTTATACTCAGCCTAAGCATTGTTGATTTAAATATTACAAAGATTATTATCATTCTCAAAGCTATACAGCTTTTTAAGTCATTATAGAACCATCTATAGCTCAGTTCATCATTCTGGACACATCTAAAATGTCTTAATTTTTATTTACAGCCTCTGAATATCTTACTTATTGTTTCAGACCTGGAAAGTTGCACAGGATGAGCATATTAGAATCATTTTATACACTTGTCTGCAACCAGATTGGTTTTATATCTTTGAAAACATTGATTCTAAATGTTTCACTTTTGCACTATGCCTCTATTTGCATATATGGTAGATGCTAAAATATATCTATCTATTAGTTCAAATCTCTTCTCTCTGCATCGTTAATTTTCATTAGTCTTTCCTCCAATTAACATTTGTATAGTGTATTTATTCTGAAAAGGTTTTGTGCTTATTTACTTGTTCTGTTCAGAGCAACTGACCTCAGTGATCTGGAGTATTTGGATGAGGAGTTTCACCAGAGCTTACAGTGGATGAAAGACAACGACATCACAGACGTTCTGGATCTCACCTTCACCGTCAACGAGGAGGTCTTTGGCCAGGTGCTTTTCTTAAAGCCATGATTTGGTGAAATAAAATGTTCACTGTCTTCCCAAATATAATTGATAAGCCAAGACATGTTTGTGTGTGAAAACTGTGAAACCATTTGTTTCAATGTAGTGTTCTTAATGTATTTATGGGGCACAGGTTTTGGCTCACAAAAAGGCATTGTGTGTTGTCAGGTAACAGAGAGAGAGTTGAAATCAGGAGGGGCCAATTTGCAGGTAACAGAGAAGAATAAGAAAGAGTATATAGAGCGGATGGTGAAGTGGAGGGTGGAGCGAGGAGTGGTCCAGCAGACGCAGGCTCTGGTTCGAGGCTTTTATGAGGTAATCTGTCACCCCCTGTCTTTCTTCTCTGATATTGGGCATCCCTCTGCGTAATAGCATTATTTTGCCAGGTGTTATTTTTTAACAAGAAATTTGATTAAACCTAAAAAACTTGGAAATACCAAGAAGAGATTTGCTTCATTTGGAAACATTTTCTGAGAATTCTTTCCAACTTTTGCATGAAATCTAGTGAACCCAGAGGCAAAACAAAAAACAAACAAACAAAAAATCATGTATGGTACATAAGACCACACAAATGTCATAAGTAGACTGCAACAAAAGAAATTAAATACAGGAAAATGTGAGATATTCTCACTTTAAGAGTATCTGCATCACCCAACAAAATGTAGACCTTGTAACCTTGTATATGTATCTGCATATGCAGGTGGTGGATTCTCGACTGGTGTCTGTGTTTGATGCCAGAGAGTTGGAGCTGGTCATTGCTGGAACAGCTGAGATTGACCTGAATGACTGGAGAACCAACACAGAATACAGAGGAGGTGAGGCCCCTCACACTGCACCGTGTAAACATCGCTAACACCAATTATCAAAAAAAAAGTCACTTCTTAAATTAATAGCTTTTGCTGAAATGAATTAAAATGCTAAAATGACTATCAGTAAAATAAAATGCCATAGATTAGCCCCGATGTCAGTTACACCAATTAATGTTACTTGGTGGCTACTAGCATTTGTTATTATCAAGTATATCATTTTAGTAAACAGAGTAATCAGTCAAAATCATTTTCTCCAGTTTAAAAAAAGTAACTGATTAAAATTCACCTTCCTGTTGAATCAGCAGTGATTAGTTGGTAATTTGCATGATGACTTTGCATATTTAACATTCTCCTTCTGCTATCCTTACAGAGCAGACACATCCATTTATATGCACATTGAAGTATTTTAAAGGCTTTTACCTCTCATAACTGTTAAACTTTAGTCAGACTCTTAACTCCTCACTGGTCTCACTCAGGCTACCATGATGGGCATATTGTGATCCGGTGGTTCTGGGGGGCAGTTGAGCGTTTTAATAACGAGCAGAGGCTGCGGCTGCTGCAGTTTGTGACTGGAACTTCCAGCGTGCCGTACGAGGGCTTCACGGCGCTGCGAGGGAGCAACGGCCTGCGCCGCTTCTGCATCGAGAAGTGGGGCAAGATCACTTCTCTGCCCAGGTGCTCAAACTCATTTCAGTGAGCTGTTTCACATCCACATCCAGTATTCTGCCTTCACCCTCCTGCTGTGTTTTGTACTAAATAGCTGAAATGAGTTGGCCTCAATACTTTCTGTTAGACTTCAGACACTGAAAACAGTCTGTCTGTCCTTGGATGCTCTGACAGAGATGAATGCTGAGACCTACATCTGTTTAAGATACTTGTAAAAATGACTCATGTAGCATTAAGTAGCATTACTCATGTAGCATTTAAACAGAGACTGTTGGATTTGAATATTTGAATATAAATCCTAGTATTTTTGCTCAGATATATTAGTGAGTAAAGGAATCTATTTTTTTACTCAGTTGCATTTTTGCCAGTCATAGCAATTAGTTACTGGTTCCTTTCTTGTATTTAATTTCTTTTTGAATATCCCAAAATAAGAAAAATAGACCCTAGCAATCTTCAGTTCCTGTGCTGTTAGATGCTGGATTTACTAAGAAGTTCCACTGCAGGTGCGGGTTGCAGCAGGTGCACATAAATTCAAACGTAGGCTAGTTGCAACATAAGTGTTTACTAAGTTCAGGTTCATTCATTGTAAATAGAATACACTGTAAATCTAAACAAGTTGCACCACACAAACTAATTTTAATGTTGAGCTTAGTAGTTAAATATTTACGCCTTCCTGTAAGCAGGTGTATGTTTTGGGAAAACCAGCCGAAGACACATAGAAAGCACAAAAAAAACCAAAAATATGACGTTTTTTTGGTTAACTAAAATAAAAATTGTAAACACTATATGCTGTGATTTTACTTACAGCTCTAAACATCACCCTGGATTTAAATCAGCATTAAGCACCCACAGCTCCAGCTCAGTGAGACTCAGCAGCTCCTGAAACATCTAAACTGAGGCTGCTGTTGTGTCGGTCAGCCAGAAACCATAATTTTTAAAATGCTGCATATTTGGTTGTCGCAAGGAAATATTAAAGAGTAAACACACACAAGCTATAGATTATATATTTTATTCAGTTTAACTCATTCTCTTCTATACTGGATATGTTTTCCATGGAAAAGTCAGGGCATGCTTTCCATGGCAGCGGCATTATAGAACATGTTCTGAATATGTTGTCATCATGTTTAAGTGACATACGATTTAGTTAGTTGTTACTAGTTTAGAGAACACTTAAGAATTTGTGGTGCAACCAAGTTTAGTAAAAAGGTAGTTTGAAACTAACTAGTGATAATAAAGGACTTAGTTAAGACTTTACGCACAAAGTGTTAAAGTGTTAAACAAAACCCAGCCCAGTTCTATAAATTACTAAGAACCTAACTAGTTTTTTTTCCTGATCACTTTGTACCTTCTGCTCAAGTTGTTTTTGGGAAGGTACTTTTACTTGTGCCTTTATTTTACTCTACCCACCTCTGATAATAACTGACAGTTTAGACTTAAATTTTATGATCTAAGATTTTATAAGATTAAAGACATTTTAGGGTTTTATCTGTTTTATTAAGTATTTCAGTGATTTTGAGTTATACAGCTTTTTCAGTCATATTAGAATGATCTGCCACCCTGTTCATCATTCTGCATACATCTAACATGTGTCTATAGTCTCCTGTTCATTATTTGAGAGCTATAAAAATTGCACAGGACTAGCATACTGAATTAATTTTATACATTAATCTGAAACCATTGGTTTTGAACAGTAATGTTAAAGACAATAGCAAAAAATATTGCCTTGAATAGTAATAATGTTTCATTCCTGTAGCTCCTTTTTTAACATGATTATTGAAACTGACCATTGCAATCACATAACAATCACAAGCCTTAAAAAATGGTTTGATATATTTTCTTAAGCATCATATTCAGAATAATGTTATGAAAAAGGAGTCTAGAGCAGGGGTGCAGAAACTTTGTCTTGGGGGGCCAATATACAATAAACAAAGAAGATTTCAGATCAAGGTTTTTTAAATGTGTCTTATAACATCGCACCATATTGTTACAATAAGACTAGTTTTAAAGGGGAGACAACAATTCACTAAGTTATATATATTGTATAAAAGTGTTTGTTCTCTCACTGGCTGTGTGGTTATATAACTTTCTTATGGGCCAAATCAAACATTGCCACGGGACAACATTGGCCTGCGGACCACACTTTGGCGTGGCCTGTAGATATTTATTTATTTATGGTGATATTTATGCTCTAGAGATATTCAGAGCTTGAAGTTCATTTTGTAATCAATCGTAGTGGATGAAAAGTAATTTATACTTAACATGGCCAATAATAATCATCACAATTTTATGGCCAGTTTGAGTTTGTTTAGTTAGATACAATATTAAAAACAGCAGGTAACACAGTTTTTTAAAGAGTTCCTTTGTTTGATTTCTTTCAGGGCTCACACTTGCTTTAACCGCCTTGATCTTCCTCCTTACCCGTCCTACACTATGCTGTATGAGAAGCTTCTGATAGCCGTGGAGGAGACCAGCACTTTCGGCCTTGAGTGAGGACCTTGCATATCCTGCATCTCTCTCAATCACTCTCTCTCTCTCGTCGTGTACACTGTGTATCGTGTACATGATAAAGAGTTATTCCGGGGAAGTTAGTATGTATATTATGCGCCTCGAAGGACACCGTTGCATGCATCACTCACCTGTGCACATGGCGTACGGCGTGTGGGGAAGGATGTGCACCATGCAAGCTGTGTATGCAATATGAATCGAAAGCCTTCAGCCTCCTCTAACTCTCAGGGCCTTGACCTCTGCTGCAGCACAGCGTCTCCAACAAGGCTGGAGCATTCACTCTGGATGCATGCTCGGCAGTTCACAGCAGCGACCGATCGCTCTCACTGCAGTTTTACTGCAACACGTTTTATTTGCAGCTTCAGTGTCTCAGTGATTGACACTGTCACTGGAATTACGTGAACGGTTCCTTCCAAAATGGTCACAGAACATATTTTGCCTCATGAAGTGAGCGTCCTTGTTACAGTAGATGTGCACTAGCGCTGAAGCTGGCGTCGTTACACGTGTAATGAATGAAGAAATCAGCAACAACACAAGAAATCGCACCACAGTGACACCTCCCTTTGCAGGAACCCAATGAAGTGGGCTAGGAGCTCAGTGCTGCACTGCATATTCATGCCACGTTAACGTCTTTGCACTGTAGAGGCAAGCTGACAGTTTGTTATTTGTTCTGAACAGCTTTATTTGTGTGTCATACTGATCATTACTTCCACCAATTTTTCACCATGTTAACAAAGTCGTTCAGGGTGGTTTGACCTGAAATGCTCCGTTATAGAGAAACTTACCAACTCAGATTTGTTTACTATGGTGGTGATAGGAACCAGGGGTCATGATATCTTTAACAGCCATTTTATTTACTACCCAAAACCACCAGGGGGCCTAAATGTGTCTTCTGAGTTTTTATGTGTAATGTAATCTTTGGGGACTATTTTGCTTACAACACCCTGCATGTATCTCTCCACCATGGGTGAAGGATATATACAAATATGTTTTAGGCCAAAAAATTATCATAAAACAATGCCACAGACCTCAGGCTGAGTATTTGCAATGATTTCATGTAATAACTTTCTGTGAGGGAGCTTTTAGAGGCACTAAACTCTTCGTCTGGTTCCTATCACCACCACTGTGAACAATTCTGACTAGGCAAGTTTCTCTAGAATAGAGCATTTTACACCAAACCACTCTGAATGACTCATCTTAGCTGTTTAATTATGCAGAAATTTAGAAAAACTGGAATTCCCCATTAAGCATGCAAACACGAGAGCATGTTTTATCTTGAATAACATCACAGCTGTGATTTGGTTGCAGTACATCATCACATCCGTTAACAGTAACACATGAGCTTTAGTGTTTTTTTGCTTTTATACAACAACAAGAAACATTGTTTTAAATATTTGCTAATATTGTCAATTTTGTTCTAGCAGCTTAGCAGTGGTCAGTGGAATGATGTGGGTATGGTAAAAATAAATAAATGAACATGCTGTTATCAGATATAACAACACAGGTGAATGATTTTCAGCCAGTCAGATTGCAGTCAGAACAAACTGTTTAACTGTATAGACTGTCGAAATCACGCAGGTGATGCATGATGAGCCAACATAGACAAAGACCTGTAAAGTGGCCTGACTTCAAATCATTTTGAGAACTTTTATTTTTTTAAAGTGGCTTTCTTTTGTCAAAGAGCACAATCCCTTTATTTGTACTGGTTCACTCGTTAACTCACTATTCACTATATAGTGTGTGCTATATAGTGAACTGACTGGGGAAAGAGCATGAAACAACCAAAAGATGTATCGCTAAGAAATTGAACAACACTACAAAATGACATTGAGTGTGTTTACATGCATAATAATAATCTGATAACTGCAGAAAATCAGATTTTGTCAATAATCCAATCAACACGTTCACATGCACTTGAGTAATCAGATAATGGGGAGACTCCAGGTGTACATGAATGAGAGAATAATTGGATTTCTGCTTTGCAACCGGCCAATGTGACGTAAACGTAATGTGAAAGTCAAACTTCATGCCTCGTTTTAAAAAAAAAACATTGTGCCAATTCACCTGAAAATATGAACATGCATCATCTAGAAGATGAAGAATATTTAAATCTTTCATTTCGTCAAGCATGTAGTTGGTTTTAGCGTCGCTCCAAAAGTGTTGTGCTGCGTCTCGCAGCAGTGCTGCTTACTTATTTACAGTACAGCAGTTTCGCACATGTGCAGACTGAGAAATCTGAAAGAAATCAGAGTAAGAGTTCACATGCGCTGAGAAATCTGATTACTGAGCTTAAATCCAGCTCTCTTCATCAGATTTCTTAATCAGATTTCTAGGCCTTACTCCGTTTTCAGAAATCGGATTATGCTGTTTACATGACCATTTGAATCAGTAACTGCAGAAATCTGATTACGATTAGATTATTAAGCGCATGTAAATGTACTCATTGTTTCTGTAATAGGGAGCGATTCTGAATGCTATGAGTTTTATTTTTATTTATTTTTTAATTTCTTTGCACCCTGCAAAAGGGAGGGGGGGCTTTTTTGTCCAAAAGATCAAACAGATTAGGCTACATACAATGTATTTTATGTAATATAATAGGTGCGTAGGCCTATTAAAGAAATGGTTTAGTCAGTGATGCTAATTTTGCTAATAATAAATGAAAGCAAACAGTCGGATTAGCATTAAAATTACATTATGCTAAATGTTAGCAACATTAGCATGTATGGTTGAAGCATTCCTTTAACGTTTGGGTACCACTGTGGGCAAACGTCATGTAACATTTGTTTAGAGACTGTGAATATTTACATTTTTTATTTATAGTAATTTGAGTGGTAAAGCTTAAGGGTTGATGAAGTGGTTCTGGCTTGGTTATGTGATGGTCTAAAGTCCTGTGAGTGGATTTTCACCTCTTCATTCTGAAGATCACCTCGCCTCATCTCTCATAGCACAAACAGTGATAAGACTGCGTACTGTACATTCACTTACAGTACTCCATGTGTAAGTTGAGAGAAGACATGATGCTGACTTCTAATGTGATTTGAAAATATATGCTATCCTTTGAATTGTACATATTTGGGAGTTCATACATTTGGACTATATTAAAAAGCAGTATATTACCTGGAAATATTGCAGCACTGATAAAAGTATATAAATTTCATCCCTATTACAGTCAATATTGGGTATAGCAGATATTAGATATATAAGTGCATTTGTATTTAATATTTCAATCTAGATGTTATATAATTGGATGTACTGTATATTGAATGTGTATATAATTGTCTATACAGTATGTGTAACTTCAAGATCTCATTTTTGAAATGCAATGTATGTAGTAGGAATTAAGATATTTCTTTTTTTTTTAATCTCTTCCTATTCTTATCTACTTTTTTCTTCAAATATGGTTGTATAACTGCATCATGCTATGCACATTTTAGTCGAACTAATAAGCAATGCAATTTTGCGTCAGTTGTCGAGGCCTTCTGTTTGATTTTCCAAAGTTTCTGATTTATAGCTCTCCGAGAAGAATGTGGCCCAAACTGACTGAAAGTTCCAGAACAAACTGCCTCAAACTGCTGACCCCAAACAATCTCGGTTGCTGGAGGTTTGAAAAGGTTCGGGCTCCTGCGTCGTCCTCGTAAACCCACACGGTCCAGCTCTAATGGCAGATTATGTTGCACTGTGTTGAAGTCTCCATATCAGTTTTGTATTCTGAAACAAAATTGTTCACAGCTCCTTTCTCAGGCCGAGCTCTGTAAAAAAGCATAGCACTGTTGAAGAATGTCAATAAACAATCACTTTGTAATGCACTGACTGCTGAGAGTTCTTGTTAATAAGTCCACCGTTATGAGCCAGGAGTGTGTTGTGATCCGGTAAGTCCCATATGTCAAATGCAAGGCCCAGTCATATCACAAGGCTCAAACCTAACCGACCTGCAAAGCCAGCGCCAGCCAGTAGTGGGTCACTACAGTATATTTTGTGGTCACCTGATCTGCTTTGCATTTAATTTCTGAGTTCTAATAGACGCATGACAGCTAACATAACTCGCTTGCTATGTGTATAGATGCTAGATGTAGGCCGCACTCTTAAAAATGAAGATCTTTTTAAATGGTCCCTGGTTTGGCTGTACAGTTGTAGTAAAAACGTTCAAATCTTTACATCAAGGGTGCCGCAGTGATGAAGACTGACATAGTTTGGTGATTTTTCTGTGCTAAAATTCTTATTCAACCTAGCAAGTGGCTTTGAACAGGAAAATCGCCAAACTGTGCTGGTCTCCAGCACTCCAGGACCAGAGTTGTCCATCTCTACTTTGCATAATGTGGGATGTTTTTTAGTGATGGAAAAACACATTTTCCAGACTTGAACATCCCGTTTATATCCTTTATGAAAAGAGATCAGGAGAAATACTTCAAAAGTATTTCCTGTTTTTATAGGATTCCAAAAATAATCTTATAAACCTCAGGTTAGGCCTACATGCAATCATCACACTTACCATGATTTAAAAAAACAAACGATAATACCTATTATTTGAATACTTTGTTTAGTATGTAGTTCATATATTTATAGAAAAAATGGTGGTGAACTTGGACAGGTGTGTTTAGACATGGTACAAAAGACTTGTCCACATTTTCACAATTGGCACTAGATCTGAAATTTAAGCTGTGAAACAGATGTGAAAACCATCCATAAAAAAACTGCTATAGTACCTAGCAAGCATTTGATAATGTAATTTTTTTGCCTGTGGTCATCATTATTTCTGTTACACTTAACATTATGTTTCAAGGTCCTTGAAGGAACCAGAAGTGGTCCTTCTATGACAGGAATACCCAAACCTTTTGTCTTGGGGGCCAAAATGTAATATTTGTGGTCAAAAAAAGCTAGCAACTGGTTAGCTTTACGTTTCCATAAAGGTAACCAGTGGCTAGCCAGTTTATATTAAGAAAATCCTCCAATGGTTTCATTACATACAAGATACAATGAATTGCCTTAAAAAGATGTTTTTCACCCTGGGGGGTCTCTAAATCTTGTTGTTT